ACCTGAGAATTACTTAAATTACAAATTACCCTCTGTGGTTCTAGAAATAACATCATGCCTCCTACGGTTTCTAATTTCATAACAAATAAGTCCTTTTATTAGTAAATCATTAAGTTAATTAACAGTTTTTAATGATGTTAAAATTTTATTTCAATTAATAATTCAAATAATTTAATTATTGTATAAGTAACCAATTAAAAATTTCACTTTTTTAATTAATTCTGTTAAATAAAAAATTCTGATAGGAAGGTATTTGTAATTTTTCAAACCACATGGAGCAATTTGTATTTTAAGTAAACTTCAGGAGTGTATTTGTAATTTATCCATAAATTAAATACTAATAATTAATTTTATTTTTATTAAAATTCCAACACAAACCCTAACCACGTATACATATACACATTTAAAAGAGAGGATGGTTGATTAGCGCTAGGAAAGGTAGGAAAGGGTGGGCAGTAATAGTTGTGATTTAAGATTTACAAGATGATTATGATTTCAGTTTTACAAGGTGAAAAGGAAGAGAGGAGAGAGAAATTCAATAATAATTTAATAATTTGACATTTGTCCTCCTCACTATTTTGTAATTAATTTACATTTTTTCGTGTCTGTTATAATCATTTTAGATTTCCCCATTGATTTGTAACTTTTTATTGTTGGTTCCATTTATTTAAAATTCTCCCTTTTTTTTTTTATACACATATTTCTATAAAAAATTATATAATTATTTCAAAGGATTTTTATTAGTGTTTCTAAACTACTCTATCAACTTACTTTTCTTTTCTTTTATTTTTATTTTTTATTTTTAATATTGGTGAGCTATAACTAATTAGTTTGCCAACTTTAAGGTACATGAGAGCCCAATATGTTCTTCACATGATTAACGAATGATAGTTTGTTTTTGATGGGACATTGCCGTTAATCAATGAATAACTTCTCCAAATACCCATTTGTGTTTGTATGATTGGTTTGTAATTAGTTTTTTGTAATTAGTTTTTTCTTAACTTTTTATCCAATAATATTATAAATTCACACTTAATTATTTAAGAATTATTCAAAATTATCTAGTGATTCAAATTATTATTATTATTATTATTTTTTTTTTGGTGAGAACGAAAACACATACCATTAATAATGACAGTTTACATTAGTAGCCAACTCACGTTTAATTAATGACAGTTTACATTAGTAGCCAACTCATGAGCAGGTTTAATTACATTCCTTCCTACTTTAATAATACTAAAAAAATAACAAAACTTGCTAAAATAGAATATGTCGCTATTGATTGATGCCACTTGCCAATCCATATTAGCCCCTTAAACTTAAGTAAGTTGACCAAAACTTGGCAATCAATCTTTATCATAATCCGACATAACTGTTGTCCTATAGCCCATTTCATAGCTTCTAAACATGTAGGGGGTGTAAATCTGACTCGGTCCGGCCCAATCTATGTTGGGCCTCGCGAGCTCCAGTCAAAATTCAGGCAGGGTCAAGCCGGCCCACGGGCCAAAAAATTAGGCCCAGACCCTAGCCCTGGCCTAGGGGTATTCGGGTTTTGGGTGGGCCGGTGGGCTTGGGCCTAATCTTGGGCTTAGGCGGGCCTAGCCATTTTGTTTTGTTTGTTTTTTTTATTTATTTTTTATATCAAAATTTTATTATTTTCCACTAAAAAATACACTGGGCCTCGGCGCGGACCGGGCCTTGAGTGGGCCTTAAGCGAGCCCACAAACTGGACCCGCGAGTTTCAAAATGAGGGCTCAGGGTCTCGGGCTGGGCTCAGGCTCGGGCCTAAATAGACCGGGCCCACCCCGGGCTGTGGGCCAATTTTACACTCCTATAAACATGTTTTAGCTTCAAACATTAATGGAGACGATAAACACTGAATTGCCATTGTTCTCTGAGCTATTTGTCGATTGTTATCGTTTAAACAAACCCAAGCTGCTCTACAATCAACCTATTTGATTCAGATTTATTTTATACATAAACCTAACACTTCACAAATTCAATTTCAACCACACATTACCATTCTAGATAGATTTAGGGACCATAAGTTTGGATCCCCAGGCTTATTTTTTTTATTTTTTATTTTTCAATTTCTCCACAAGTCTCCTCAAACTTTGGTTGTTTTATAGTGATCCCGGATTTGACCCGACACTTGTAGTAGTTCGGACTCAGGTTTATGGTTACTGAATGTTGGTCATTGTCGTTTTTCCTTTAATCCACTTTGAATTTTGGTTATTGGATTGTAATTGTGCGTTTGAAACAGGTTGGTTGCTTGTTTTTCCAAACCTTAATTTTGGTTATTGAATTGTAGTTGTGCGTTTGAAACAGATTGGTTGCTTGTTTTTTCAAACCTTTGTTGCCTAAATTTTTGCTCATTCGCACGAGTAGCCATTATTGCGCTCGAAAGGGATTTGCGAACTGTCAGTACTTTTCACGTCTGCAAAAGTACTGGAAGAATGTTTTCTACGCTCGAGCAACGTTTCCTACGTTGGAGCGAGTGGGAGCTCGAGCGGCCTTTCTTAAGCTCGAGCAGTTTGTCTGTTGTTTGCAAAAGTACTAGATGTGTGTATTCTGCGCTCAAGCGGGTCACTTCTTGCACTCGAGCAGAACAACTTATTGTGTCTGACGCTCGAGCGTCAACTCTTTCACTCGAGCAGACTGTGTGTATATCAGATCGCAAAAATGACTTTTTGCAACACTTTTTTAGATCTTCTCTCCGAAAAACCTAAAGTTGAGACCCTTTCTCTCTAAACTCTCTTTCTCTCTACATTTTCACCTACTCCTAGTGATTTCTTCACCCTAATCCTTTTGATAAAAAGGTAGATCATCTCAAGATCTCTATTTTGATCCGAATAGAGTTGGAACTCGACATCTTTGAAGTTTCACTCTTGTTTGACTCATCTTCTCTCTTTGAGGTAGGGATTTTTTACACTTTCATATGATTTTTAGCTTAGTTATTTGTTGTTGTGTAACAATGGTGAGATTTGGAAGTATTTTGAGCAAATCTAGGGTTTGGGTTCAAGTTTGAAAAGAGGGATTTCTATGTGGGTGTTATATAATTGATTATGGGGTTTGGATATGAGGTCATCTTGTGATAAAGTAATAAATTTTCACCTTTGGGTTAATATTTGAAACATGGAGACCTTTGCCCTAAAACATCTTGAATAAGTATTTTGTAAAAATAATGAAATTGATATGGAAAATGTGAAATTTGGTGGATGTATACATGAATGGTGTTGTTGGATTTGTTTAATCACTCACCTATAGAGATTTGATGATTTATCTATTATAGAGATTGTATATCTGTATTGGGTTATCAGTGGAGGATATCTATGATTGTTGTAGAAATTACATGAGGATTAAGTAAATTGAAACTAATTTATTGTTGGTTGTCATTAAATATGACTATGATTTATATACATTGTATATGTATGATTGTTTGGGAGGAGAAAGATGGTGTATTTCATTGTTTGGGAGGAGATAGGGGATGAACTCCACTGAAATTAAGTTGGTCGGAATGTCCAGGGTGAAAGTCCCGAAATCTTGTTTATACATGGGTGCCAATCCCGTGAACGAAATTTTCGTAAAATGACAGATTGAAGTGTTTGTGTGGTAATTGTGTTGATTAGATAACCACTGAGTTGTAGCCTCAGTTGGGTTGTTGAAATATAATGGAATTGACTCCTAAATTGAGAAGAATATGTGAACTTGAAATGAATTGAAGGAAAATAAATTGAAATATGAACTTTGGGACTTTACGACCATATGTAATGTGAATGTCTTGTTACAAGTATTGTGTATGCACATTGCACTCATATCTTTATTAAATCTCATATACTGTGTTAGATTATTTTCACTGGGCTTTGGCTCACCCTATTTGGGGAAAACTATTTTTAGATACTGGTGACATGCCTCCGCCAGGGCAATAGCTTGGAGGGAGTTTAGGAGCAAGAGCTTCTTTATTTTGTTGTATTCTTTGTATAGCCAAGGGCATAAATTGTATTGAGTTAGGCTCATTTTTATGTAACCAAGCCATGACTTGGAAATATGTAAGCTTATAGGGCATATGACTATTTGTTTAATTTCAATTCTCTTATCGTTGCAACACATGCTGTAGATTCATGATGAATATTTGTGAATGTATATTGCATGTGTTAACTTTTGTAAACGAACTCTAATGAATGAACATGTTTTATTTCTATTATTCTTCTGCTTTAAGAATTGAATTTACTGTAATATTTTTGGGGCGTTACATGTTTCTTCACTCATACACAAGGGACTTGATCTACTTTGCTCAGTAGCGGAGCCAAAAATTCAATGCAGAAGGGGCACATATTAATCACAACAATGAATTTTTTTTCACCCATAATAAGTAATAGTGAGATATTATTAAAATTATACATTTTATTTTTATTTTTATTACAATTATCTTGAGATTTACATTAATGTGACTTATAAATCCACGATCAATAATTAAATTCTATGCCCTCTAAAAAAAAAAAAAAACTAAATTCTATGAACTAAATAATCAATAAATTCAATCCTATCAATTCAAAAGAAGTGTCCCATGATGAGGAGTAATAAGCAACTAAATAAATCTCATAATAAGAAATGAATTATCAATTGATTCAATTCTTTCCTTGATCTATCAAGTAAAAGTGTACAAGAATAATCAAAATAACAAAATAGAGAACTTTTAAAATTTTAAAAAAGCAAAAAGTTTTACATAATTTAAAGAGAGCCACTATTATAATTTTATAAAGGATACATAATACATAATCTTTAGCTATATGAGTACCAGTTTAAATATTGAAAGTTTAGGGGCAGGTGAACCCAACCCCCCACACCCCCAAAAGCCTTTGGTGGCTCTGCCCCTGCTTGAGACCCTCAATTTTCTTATCTTGAAAGAGGCCTCTTCTTGAATCTAGATTGTACTGATGAGAAGGATTTCGATGTGCAAAAACTGAATAAGGATAAAATCCTCAAGGTCCAAGCTAAAATTTTGTTACCCTATCTTCTTGTACTAATTATTATGCTATCCTCACTTGCAAAAATATTATTACCGGCCTTAGCTAGAACTGCCAAAAGCAAGACTCTCCCTCCGATGTACCAAAAATGCAAAAAAAAGAAAAAGAAAATAGCATTACCAGCCTCTAAAACCCAAACATCTAAACATGATTGAAATGCTAAAGAACACAATCAGCAAACAAATCCTCTATCAACTCCTTGAAAAGTAGCTTCTCTATGTCACCCACAACTTGCTCCACTTCATCCACAGTGAAGTCATGCCTCCAACCCAAATCCCATGCCCCGCTCATCACTCCCTTGCTTTCAAGATCCAGAACAAGTTTCTCGCCGGCATGCTTACTATAGCTTCTCAAATTCTCAATTCCATCACGCACTTCCTCGACCAGTTTGGCTAGCGAGATGGAGATCTTTGAGCACCTCAAAGAAGCAAGTAACAATGGATGTTTGGTTTGTGAACATCTAAGGCTTTTATGTTGCACAAGTTCCTTTGCACAGTCCACCAAGAATCTAGCATCGGCTATCCCAGAATCATTTGAACTAGTTTTCTGTAAAACTATCGCATGTTTGTCATTGATATTAAAGTGCTCCTCCGCATAACTGAGGAACAATGGACTGCTCAAAAGCAAATCTTCGACATTAGCTTCTGTTCTGAAGCATTTCTTCTCAGTACTATTGATGCAATGGTTAGCTTCTTCAGATGATTTGGTGAAGCTTTCATGTTGGGTAGTCTGTGGTATAACATTGCAGATAGAATTCTGGTTGCTATCATACTGGTCTGCAGTTAAATAGACATGAAAAGCCCCATAAAAATCAATACAATTGAACTGCGTATTGCAAATGCAAGCACCTATATATGCACCCTAAGGTTGAGTAATGACTCGCCCTATATGTGTGTATATTTTCAATCCAGTTATAGATATAGAATCCCCATATGCAGACATTAAAATAGCAGTACCCTTTTTCATTTTTCTTTTTCCTGTACTTGTGGGAACGTTATGCAAAGAAATGATATAAGTTACGTCCAACAGCTAGTGACGGGTCAGGCGGGCATAGAACTTTGAACCATAATTGTAATATAGTTTTCTTGCCCTGAAGACACTCGGATAAGAGAAAGTCCTCCTCCATGAATTAGTACCTTTTATACTTATAGGATGCGTAGGTGTATGCGAGAGCAGAGAATTCACTTCATTACCAATTCTCATAATTTAAAAAATTCAAATCTAAGAATGTGCCATACCTTTACTCTGAAATTCAGAGGAATCTGTCCTTTCTTTAGGAAGGAGTTGATCCGCAGTTGTAGTGCCAGTTCTTGTCATATCGGATTCATTTTCACAACTAAGGCCAATTGACTTGTCACCATACTTGCATCCCACATTTTCAACCTGCATTGTCATATAATGTTTCAATCTTCACAATAAAATTTTCTTTATTTGGTGATGATTCTAAGGCTGTCTCGTTAGTTTCAACATTGCATTGCCTACTTTGTTATTGTCTTTAAAAAATATATTTAAACAACAGTATATGCATATAAAAATCAGAGAACAAACAGAAGTTTCTAAAAGAAATAATATTAAGACTGTAAAAATTGAATGCTAGGACTCACAACAGAATTAGCTGCCAAGGGCTCCTTGCTTGGCTTCTCATTATTCAGATTCTTTTCCCGATCACCACGATTACACGATATGGCTGGTGTTGTATGTTTTGAATTGCCGCTTGAGGAGGTGGATTTTTGCTGGGAAATACAGCTCTTTGCAATGATTGACCCCGTCTCAGGTTTTCTTTGTTTTGTGGAGGTCACTTTGGCTTCATCACGGGACTTAGAAACAGCTTTGGATTTCACTTTCTCCATTTCTTCTGGTTTCTTTGCTCGCAGTGCCACCTTCTGTATCCTATCAACTTTCTTCCCAATCACTTTCTTTTTCTCTTGCTGATTTGAAGGCAGTACGAAAGCTTTCAACTCATTAGAAGACAGCTTGTCATTGGTCTGGACTACTTTCTCTTCTGCTTTTGCTTGTATCCCTTCAGAATTTTTTACCCCTTCCCGGCCAAGCCTTTTGACTGGAGTTTCTTCACCTCTGTGTCTTCTAGACAAATTACCAGTACTAAAACCTTCTTCACAATGGCCTGTGGCTGGGGCTTGAAGTTCTTGCATTTTCAATTCCCCAAGCACCTTCTTGCTGTTGAGGGCTCCCATACCGTGGAGAAACTTTTGCAGGCGAGTCTCTTCCACCTCCACACTTGAAAATTGCAAAGGTTTTATTATTACAATAGGTGGGGCATCTTCAGTATACCTCTTTTTGGAGTTGGATGCATCAGAACGATGCGATTGAAGCCCAAACCCTTCGTCAGAATTGCCATTCACAAGCCCTTCAAATTGCATGTTTTCAAATCTTTTGACTATTTCTTTCAGTTTCTTCTGTTCTGTATCTACCTTATAATCAGCAGAATGAGATTTCCTCGCCTTTGGCATGTCAATTTCAAACATAGGCCTTCTCTGAAAGGAAATCATTTTACTCTCCAACTTTTTCTGGGGACAAATCTGCACGGTTTCTGAGGGAATTTCTTCCAAACCCATAAGCTTGGCAATCAAATTCGAGCCTTTTGACTTGTGAGGAGCATTTGATGAGAGTGAACTATCAGAAGAGGCAAAGCCTTGGAAGGACTGGCTTGAGCTAGTGGAGGCAATATCAGTACCCGAGTCCAGTGTTCTTTTATCACAGTAAGCCTTTTTTTCAGTGCAACTGGGCAGCAAAAGATTTTGCCTAGCAAGGCCGTCTCTGATCACAGTCCTAAGCTCCTCAAAACAATCCCTCGAACACCCATCAGCAGAAAATCCCGGTTTCTCAAATCCCATTTGGGAATTATGATCTTGGAAGTGATGGGATTTTGTTCTTTCAATCCCCACTTCACCAATTCTGTCTCCCCTAGATTTTTCCTTTCGATTTTCCCACAACTTATCTTGTAGTTTTCCAAGCATGATCAAAGACTCTTGCAAATCAAGAGCTCCTTTCAACAAATCTTTCGCAATTTCTGTAGAATGCCCATCAATTGTCATCCCCACAGACCATGGGTTATCTGAATCTTCTTCTCTGACATTTTTCGAGCCCATCTTCATTGATTCTTCTTTGAATGCAGAAGAGGAATTCAAATTCCTAGGATTTCTTCGATTTTTGCCTTTTTCATCTGATCTGTTAGGATTGGTTTTGGATTTTCTGATTGTTTTACATTCAATTACGCCTTTTGGATCATCACATATGATAAATGATCTGTACACAGCCGATCTCAGACCGTCTTGAGGCATATTCTATGGTAGAAAATTCCATTGAAAAAGTCAGATTCTGCTAATGCAACACAAACCAAGTCCAAAGATCTAACTAAATTTTGCATAAAATACTAACAAAATTATGTATATTTTAATGATTTTCGAAGATGGACTGTAAACAGACAAATACAACTTTTGTTGCTAAGCTTTCTGTCACTGAAAGCACAAGCAAAATAAAACATCATTTAAAAATACTTAAAACATCAATCTGACCCAGTGCACGAAACTCTTGCTAAAAAGATCATTCCCCTGTTGAAAATTTAAACAATGCTCAAGGTCTAAGTTCTCATTAATTTATATCAATTTTCAAGATACCAACAAAATGGAGAGAGAGAGAGAGAGGGCAATGCTATGGTAAATTTTTGCAAGTGATGGATCTAAATATGTAAGAATTCAAACAGTGAACATAAACAGCACAAAGAAAGCAACAACATCAAATTTTCATGAGAATTTCAAGTATGATACCTGAATCACTGTGTAGTTTCTCTGCTAACAAACAGCTTTTCTCAGCACTGATCAGCCTAATTCTCTCCCAATTAGCCTCTATTTAAAACCCAAATCACAGAAAAGCCAAGAAACCAAGAAAATCCGAGAGACCCAGATGAGAAAATGAATGCAAAACAATTCAAAACCAAGAATTGACCAAAACCCATTAACAGTTGCAGAGATAGAGAGAGACCTCAGATCCACCAGAAAAAAAGAAAAAAGAAAAAAAGAAGAGCAAAATAGCAAAACTATTTTGAAGAACAAAGAAAGAGTTGGGCTGGTTTGATTTGTTTGTTTAATGATAAAATGGTGTGATGGGTACAAAATGGAATGGTTTGAATAATGAGTAGTATTTTATGATGGGTGTGGTGTGGGTGATGATTAACGGGTGCAATTGATTGTTGTCGTATTTGGGGTTGCAGATTACCAAACAGAGCAAATCTGTAAAACAGATTGAAGAGGAAAGGTCGGATCACGATTTAGAAAGAGATGTTGTGTGCAGTTGGGATGAAAACTACAATGAAAAAGACCATGAACAATAATAAATGGATATATATATATATATATATATTAGTGGTGGCACATAATGCATGTGTGATCCAAGAGGTTCATTAATATGACTATTTTTGTGGAAGTGGTAATTATAAGACTGTAATATTGATGAGCTTCTTGAATTATAACTATTTTTTTGGAGCGCTTGAACAGTGGTTTCTGCCTTAACAGAGAGTTTTTTTTATTTATTTTAAAGAATAAATTACAAATATATCCCTTTAGATTTGATTAAAATACGAATAATTTTCTATGATTTTAAAAATTATATTTCACTTCATGAGGTTTTTAATTTCATAACAAATTGCCTATTTTATAAATAAATTATCAAGTCAATTAATAATTTTTAATAATATTAAAAATATGTTTTAATTAATGATTTAGATAATTTTATTATTGTATTAAATAATAATTATAAATTTCATTTTTTTAAATTAATTTTTTTAAATAAAAAATTTCCATAAAAAAACATTTATAATTTTTAAAATTATATAAATAATTTATATTTTTAATAAATTTCATGTGTATTTGTATTTTGTACGGACTGTTTTAAACGTGATGTGTGTGGGACCTGTTTGAGGAAACGGATATGGCTCTTTTTCCGCTCAGAAACTCTTTTAAGTCGGTTTGTCATTTACACTAATTAACTCCATGTGAATTTAGGGGAAATATTATGTATAACGGTGATGTACCATCATCAATAAAAAATGGAGAAATTATAAAAATAAAATAAAAATTCAGAGTTTGACCTGATAATAAATTAAATTTTAATTTTTTAAAATTATTTTAATTTAATCACTAAATTTTTATAATGATGTTAATTCTAATTATTTGTTAGTTCTAATAATGAAATAAAGCTAATTTAGACAATTTTAATACTTTTTGACGGTGTATGAGGAAGGAAGGAGAGAGTAAGCTGGGAAAGAAAAGGAGTAACAATGGATGGAAAAAATTGATGAAATGATGGCAGTGGATTGGAAAAAATGAGAGGTAGTGATGAACGATGGTAATTGTGAGAGGTTAATGAATGTGAAAAAATGATCAAGTTATCTAAATCGTTCAATAGATACAAACGGATGATTAAAATTTTAAAAATTCAGTATTTAAATTGAAACAATTGAAAAGTTAAAATTTTGATTTGTTAGTAAGGTGAAAACTTGAATTTTTTTTTTTATATAATTTACTTGAAAAATATTTAAATTGCAATAGTAGGATTATAATATATGATTGGATTAGTAAGAGTGTTGGCACTATATTTTAACCCTCTAATAAGAGCAAGAAATGTGGCTATCCATGATGAAGAATACATGGGACGTGTATATGTGGCTGAAGCATAAATGAGACAATATGATATTCAAAGTTATTGAGAGTGTCAAGAAACCTATAAATAACAGAAGAAATGAAGAGGAGGCCCCTAGACAAATCATCAATTATTATCTTAATTTTTATGGATAATTACATTTTGCCCCCCTAAAATTTCACCCATTTTCTACTTTAGCCATTTAAATTTGGTTTTTTTTCACTTTGGCATTTCATATTGGCAATCCTTCCCACTTTGGCCCTTTAAGTTTGATTGTGCTTACTTTAGCCCATTCATGTTTACAATTCTTCTCACTTTAGCTTTTCATGTTTGCAATCCTTCCCACTTTACTCCTACACTATCTTCCATCCAAAAAATTAACAAAATCTACCACATCACCATCACATCAGCTTTATATGTGTTGTAAAAATTCACTAAAGATACAAAAAATGAAAAGTAGAAAACAAAAAAATTGAAATTTTTTTTTGTCATTAGTAAACTTTTTTTTTCAAATTTATTCATAAATATTATTACATTATAGATGCATCTAGATTAGATGCACCTAAAAAATAAAAACAAATTTAACTGAAAAAATAATTTTTTTTTACTAAAGACGAAAAAAATGAAAAAATACTGACTCAAACACTTATATTGTCAATTCTGTAATGAAAATTTACTATCGCTTTTTCTTTTCTTTTTTTCGTCTCTAGTAAATTTTTTTATTTTTATTTTTTTAGTTAAATTTGTTTGTATTTTTTTAGGTGCATCTAAGCTAGATGCATTTATAATGTAATAATATTTATGAATAAATTCGAAAAAAAAAAGTTGAATAAATGCTAAAAAAAAATTCCAATTTTTTTTTTTCTATTTTTAATTTTTTGTATTTTTAGTGAATTTTTTTACATCGCACATAGAGTTGATGTGTTGGTGATGTGACTAATTATGTTAGTTTTTGGGTGTAAGTTATTCTAAAAGTAAAGTGGGAAGGATTGCAAACATAAAAGGTCAAAGTTGGAAGAATTAGAAATATGAAGTGCCAAAGTTAGAAAAATCGAATTTAAAGAGCCAAAGTGAAAATAAGTGAAACTTTAAGGGGGGCAAAGTGTAATTTACCCCATTTTTGTCAACAGCTTCATTTTTACTCTTTCAATCACACAACTCTCTCGGTTTGCTCAATACAAATATTAAATCTCAAAATAAATTGTCAAAAGAAGTATATAAATTGAAAAATAATTATAAATTAATGGTAAACTTTGTCAATATTAATAGTTAAAGTTATAAACATTTCAACATATATGTAATATTTTTTTGCAATTACTTGCAGGTAATTTTTCCAAAATCTTATCAATTTCAATTTTAAAATTGTTATAAATGCATCTTTCTACAATTTTATGCAAGACAAACATGAAGTTATAAGATCTGTGGTTTGATATATCAAAAATATCTCAACAATATAAGATATGTGGTTTGATAACAAAATCAACAATGTCACAAGAAAGATTAAGCATATTAGCCATATTATCAAAGGAAATGAATATGCTAACAAGACTTGAATATAAGATTTAATTACTAGTTATTTTGGATCTTAAAATAAATAAATAAATAAATAAAAAAGTACTACAATATTGAAAAATGTAAAACTTAATTTAAAGTTTCCATTCAAATTATCTATAGCCAAACCTAGTTGGTGTAAATATTTTTCTCTAAATTTGATCCCCCAAGTCAATGTCTTGATTCTGTCTCTGATATCATCATTATATTTAATATTTATTTATCAAACTAGGACCTTCTTAATTGATGATCTTGTTAAAAATAAAAAGGATAAAGAAATGAAACTACAAGTTCTCCATCCTTAGGAGTGCATTTTTTAAGTACCAAGAACTCTTTACAAATTATTTTAAGTACTTGAGAGTGCATTTTTTAAGGTACTTGAGAGTGCAATTGAAACTATAAGTACTCCATCCTTGAGTACTTTGAGAGTTAAAAAGTTAAGTGATATTCGGTAATAAATAAAAGGGTATCCGTGTAATTAGGCTTTTTTTTTCATAAAAAAGTTCACTTTTGATAGCCATGGGTAAGGTTTATTTAGGACCATACTCAAAGTTGCCACTCACTCTGTGATTGGTAGACTTCAAAATTTCCTTAGGTTTGAGTGTGATGTTTAGTTAGAATTTTTAAAAATTAATTTTACATTTATTTTTTAAAATACGTCTATTCGATCATTCTCTTAAACGTCTGGTTAATTGACCGAAATCGTGTTCGTGTTTTTTTTTGACACCTGTTATTTTTATATTTTTAATAAAAAATATTTTTGAAATTTTTTAAAAAATTTTTATGAGTTTTGAATTGAATTTTACATTCTGTGTTTGATTATGATTTGTAAGTTTTTGAATCAAATATCATATGTCACATCAAAAATTTCAAACTCAATTCAAAACTCTTTTCAAAATTCATAACCAAATAAATTTTTTACATTCATATTATAATTTTAAAACTCACAAATTCAAAATACAATTTTATTATCAAATCATAATTCTAAAACACTACTAAACATTCCTTTAGTTTGTATTTTTGAGACATTCACTGATATTTATTTATTTTTATATATTTTTTAAAGATGGGAAAACACCCACTGATGTTGTTCTCTTATTTTCAATTTTCAATGGAAAATCAAAAGTTATTAAGGATGGAGCACTTGTAGTTTCAATACCATTGCAGAGCAATAATTTAAAATAATTTGTAACACTCTTCCAAACCTAATAACAGACAACCATAAATACAATTGTACTCTCAAGTACTTTAAAAAATGAATATGGTCCAAGTGAAATGAACATCTTTGTGAATGCAGTATCTATACATATACAAATATCCTCAAACTTGGTGTTTCATAAAGTTGATAAAAAATTGACTTTTTGATTTTTGATTTTTTTGATAATTTTTTTGGTAAAACTTGGCAAAAAATCAAAAAGTTGACTTTTTACCAAGTTTCCAAATTGCTCCTATATGTAATTTGGGCCAGAGCCTAGCTCAAATAATTTGAGTTGATTTTGAAAAAAATTTAAACTTGTACATTATGATTTCAAAGTCACCATTTGGATTTAATTTGTTAACTCAAATTAAATTTTGATAAGAATTTGGATAGAGGTTCTCACATCCCTAGTAACCAAATCAATCGTTAATATATATAAATTATATGTAATACATGAAATATTATAAATTACAAATCATTTTTTCACTGTTTTGATTAAATCACATCGTAATATAATATACAGTGATGATACATACTATTAAAAAGAGAGTACTAAGCCAGCTTTAACAAGCTGACAGTGCAAGAAATACAAAAAATAAAAATAAAAATAAAATAAAGAATAAAACATCAAATCAATTAGAACTATACTATATTTAGAATTATTAGAATTTATTATTTTAAAGCTCTTAAACAATTTTCTATAATATATTCTACTACTTTATGCAGATAAACCAATTTTTTATTTTTATTTTTTTATATTATATTTATTTATATATTCTCAATGATATTTTGTCTTTTTCAGCGCTAATTAGGACTAGTGGCAAGAAGGCTCCCTCCCCTAACTACTCTCAAATCTTAAAGAAAGACAAAAAGAGGAATTATAGGCCAAATAATTGCAAAGCGAATCCAAATAACGAGTAATGT